TTCGAATTGAAGGCATCGTACTAAACGTTTCTAGGCGAGGAGTTTGCAGTCACGACACTTTCGACCAACACTCAATCACATGATTCGACTGCGCCGCAAGCTTCATCTCTTTCTCCCGTCACCAGTCTAGATTGGGTTCATGAGGTGCACCCCTGGGACACACCCACACCATTTTCCCTCGTTCCTCCAGAGATACTTACCTCTCCTCCGGCTCCGGGTTCTACGAATAGCAGCAGTACCTTGGTTTCACCAATGACACCGGCAGTCGTCACATCTATTGCCTATGGACAATCGCCGCCATTCCCGAACATCACGTCAGTCGATAGCAACTCTCCGATACCTACTGGTGTGTGTACCGGATGTATCATTGCAGCATATGGTCCCATTACCACGTCTTACAATCCTGGGGAGTTCTACAACCCATGGACCAGTATAGTGGTAACCGAGACAATTGTTACGGAGTATTCTACTTACTTGCACAACAATACTGTCGATACTGTCGTCACCGAGGAGCGCACTGTCAACCAGACGAAAACTCTTACCCTCGATCAGGGTCAAATAATTACACGTTCGACACCGACATTCACCATACAGCCAACGCCAGGTGTATTCTTCCACCTTGATGCAGGCCCAACTTACGTCATCTACAACCGGCTGTCTGGTGGAGTAGATGAATATCACGAGGTATTCTTGCCACAGTATAATATGACAGCAGCAGAATGCTCGTCAAACGTCGCACCTTTAACGAGTTGGGCCCCTGCAAGAACGGCATCCGCAGACTGGAGTTACTTCATCGCAACCCACACTGGAAAACTTCCTCCAAGTCCAGGAAGGGATGAGCCCGTGCCTTTACCATCCAAACTAATTCAGTATCTAAAAAATGACACAGATATCCAGAGACAATTTCACGGCGCGGACATCGCTACGTGTAGTTACAGTAGACCGCCTCAATCGAATTTACGTCCATTGCCCTCGGGAATCGCCGCACCGGCCGCACCACCTCTATCATCGCTTCCTATCTTCCTGTCGCCCTTGACAGGCACGTATCTTGCGACCAGTTTTGAGTCCACCTCAGTTCACGTCACGGTCCGGGGATGTTTAAGATGTGAAGATACATCGATAAAGGATGCTGTGGACCCTACGGTGTCAGCCAAAATGGCAGATCCTACTCCCACAAACCACGGCGACGACGATAGGCATGATGACAACTCTCCATCACCCAGCCATCCCGATACACCAGCCGATAATACTGCCAAGCCGACCCAGGGTGGTGGGAAGACTTCACCGAGCATTCCGGTCGCGACCGCGACTAAGGATGTAACGATTGGAGGAGTGATCCTCCCCATCAACACTCCCAAACCGACTCAGGCAAGGCCCGATAGCCCGAACGACGATAATCACGATCAGATTCCTCCAGCGATCATCATTGGAACCGTGACAATTACACGAGGGCAAACGAAGACCATCAATGGCGTGCCCGTGGTCGTACCTACAAATGGCGGAGGAACACAGATCGTTGTAGATGGCAGCACGGTTGCTCTCAATCCAGCTCCGACTCAAGCTCTCAATCCGGCTCCGACGCAAGGATTACCTGTGCTCATTGTTGGTGGGGGGATCGTCACGCCAGATTCGAATGGAAATTATATTCTGGGATCCGAGACGTTGAAGCCGGGCGGCCCTCCGATCACTATTAACGGGAACACCGTCAGCATGGCACCGGAGGGCGTGGCTATCGTCAATGGTGCCACACAGACTATCGCAAACCTTCCGGCGCTTACCGGAGCCCCCGCTTTGACGGTCGGCAGTCAAGCCGTCTCAGCAACCGTAGTGGGAGGCTCAACAGTCTTTGTTGTCGCGCCTGGTCAGACGCTTAGTGCAGGAAGCACACTTGTCGTCGATGGCACGACCTACAGCATGCCGGCAGAGGGTCATGGGTCAACCCTTGTCGTCAACGGCCAGACTTCGATGTTGAATGCTGGACAATCAGCCATTACTCTCGACAGTGGGAGATCCGTCACTGCGCAAGTCATCAGCGGCACGACAGCCTATGTTCTTGCTCCTGACCAAACTCTCACACCTGGTGGCGTCCTCACGATCTCCGGGACCACATACTCCATGCCCACGAGTGCGTCTGGTTCTGTCATCGTCGTCAACGGCGTTACATCCACTTTGGCTGCCGGTGCCGAGATCACCGCTGCACCAGCCTTGACCATCAATGGCGTGACCTATGCACGAACTGTCCGAGACGGAACAACTGAGTATGTTCTGAACGACGGGACAACCCTCGCACTCGGATCTTCTATAGAAATCGACGGAACTACCTACTCTCTAGACGAACAAGGTACAGCCCTAATCATCAACGGGCAAACCAGCACCATTCCGAAACTTCCAAAGAGCAACAGCGCGAGTACAACACATTCAGACTCCGCTTCTACAACGAGAAGTCGCGACGCTGGAGATTTGATAGCGAGCGGCATAGGCGAGACAAGTAAGGGAGTCGGACCATCTACACACGCCGGCGGTTTGGACAAGTGGATTGAGAGTCTGGTTATTGGCGCGGCGGGATGGCTTACGCTGCTACTGTGAGGAGCTCGACCGCTGCAGGACTTGGGGAAAATTGGGTGGTAACGATTTGATGCATTATCATATAGCGCGGCGCTTGGTATTTTGGATGGGAAATAGGGATACATAACGACTCGGGCATATACTGGAGGACTATAGTCGGCATTTGGGTGGAGCTGGGACTTTTTCTTGGTAGATATTGGTATAATGCGTAATGCTATTAATCTATATACTTGGGAAATCAACTAGAAGATGTATGTGGCGGCACAGGCGCGATGGTACGCTAATCCACGCCGTGATGATTAGGATATCCTTCAAACTCGTCCGAGACCTCCGCAAGTCCAAGAAGGATCTCCAAGATGGCGTACTAGTACACAAGATCCGTTTGTGATACTAGACGATGGTAAAGACGCAAGTCTGGTCAACTCAGCCGTGACTGCCTCAAACCTACTTCCCACCCTTCTTGAATAACTCCCATGCCTCGACCAAGCCTTGCCTAGTCTCATCCTGCTTCGCTCGCTGCCCATCACCAGGATCGCCAACAGCAGCCACACTGCCGTCGTATGCCTCGCCCGAGAACAGAACGCGCAAGTTCATCCAGACCGGAACGACCTTCGTATCCGGACCCTTGACCTTCATCTTCTTGAACAGCTCTTTCGCCATCTCACCTCGCAGGCGCTGGACATAGTTGGCCCACTCCTCTTCAGCACCATTCCTAGTCCACGTCTTCCCGAAGCCCTTGCTAGTCGAGTCCATTTCCAGAACAAGGGTGAGGGAAACGAGACCGCGGTAGTAGTTCTTCATGACGTTGTACCCGCCGCTCAGCAACCAGTGCAGATCGTAGAAAGAACGGATCTTGATGTTGAGCTTGGTGACAAGACGCTGACATCCAGTGGGAAACAGTCTCACGCTGTAGTCCGGTGGAGGGCATAGTTCGTTGGTTGGTCTAACGACCTCGAACATGTTCTTTCCGTAAAGCACAGCCTTGGCCTCGGCGAAGATTTCTTTGTTCGCACGGAGGATGTTGATGTTGGTGCGGCCAACGAGCGAGAAGCGGGTTTTGTGGCCGTCGACATGGAGGTGGACGAGTGCGTATGCGATACCTGGGAGGAACTCGCGGCGCTCGGCGTGGAGGAACGCTTTCTTCTCGTCGTGGAATACGGTGTGCTTTTGGCGGACGCAGATCAGGCCGGGAACCACTAGGAGGTGCGAGTAGATGATGTCGCGGACGGAAATGGGGAGGTTCATGAATGGAAATGGTTCCTTGTTGGCGATGGGGCTATCGATGGCGAGAGCAAGGGAGGCGAATGGGTCATGTTTTTCCAGAGCTGTAGGTTTGGCAGTGTACGAGTCTGCTGGAACTGGAGAAGGGAGGTCCAAGTTGCTTGCGGTTGAGGTACTGCCCTCGTCGTCGCTCTTCTCGCGGATCTCGGAGTCGAAGGTCTCCTCTGGCTCGTGGAAGAAGACGTCGGGTGACTCTCCCTCGTTGAAGTTGATTTCGCGTCCTGTCTTGTTGGAGTTGGCATCAAGGTACTCGACGTTGCTGAAACGAACGCGTTTGGCCATACCGCCGGTCGAAGGTGGTGTCATGAGGTACGATAGCGGAGGCGTCTGTGGTCGCTCGACTGACGGCTCCATATTGAATGCGGATCGCGATGAGTACCTGGGTATGAGAAGGATATATGGTGGTTGATAGAAGAGTGAGGTAGGCAAGACGTTAATAGATGGGCGAAGGGAGGATATGTGAAGGTGAGAGAGAGCCATAGCGGACTCCAGGCGGGGCGTCTCCACAATATGAAAGCTATGATGAGGTGAAGGTGAACGGTGATGGACGGCCGCCGCTATCTTCGTGAGAGACGACGATCATGTCGGAACAGGAACACATGAGGGATTGTGTGATCGGTTTCGTGAGATTACAGATTTTGTGGCAATGAGTTGAGCTGATCGCTGGACTACACTATCAAGATAGCGAGCAGTGTGGAGGGGTAGGGATGACTTGAAAGAGAGCCTCGCCCGCGGCGCATCCAATTGACTTGGAAACCCCGCATCTCAACGGGCCGCCATATAGTCGCCGTCACATAATTACAGTACGGATCTAGGTACTTGCGGCTCTATCAAGCTCCAAGATGTTGTTGAAGGTGGGATGATGACCTCCACACACCAGCTCTCAGAATTGTGCGGCGTAACTCGGCAGCAGAAGCAGCAATCAGCTATTCAGATAGAGAGGAGAAAGGAAAAGTAGGTACCAAAGAGCCGATGAAGATGAAGATGTTGATGGGGTTGCGCCGTGGTTGGGTGACATTCCAGGTCCCGCGACCCAATCGGTGCTAGTCGCAGCCAGTGCCGAGCCGGGCTCAGAAACCTCATCGCAGCATCCTCAACTGCACCCGCGCCCCGAACGCAGCCCCATCCCGCAATCCATCTCCCCTCTACCCACCATGTCTGCCGCTCGTGCCTTCAGCACCGCTTTCCGGGCGGGTGCGCCCCGCGCCCCAATGGCCGCCCGCTACGCTGCCACCCGAAGCTACGCTGCCGCCGCCGCCCCGACTGGCTCTGCCAACAAGCCCCCGGTTGCCCTCTTTGGCGTCGACGGAACCTACGCGAGCGCTCTGGTACGCTTTCCACGACTCCAATTGGCACTCTGGCGATGATACGAGGATGGAAAACGGGCCAATGGCTGGGGAACAAGAGCTTGGCTAACAATTGTGGCAGTACACCGCGGCCTCCAAGACCAACGCCCTCGACCCCACCGCAAAGTCTCTCCAGGCTCTCCAGGGCGTTTTCCAGAAGGACGCCAAGCTTACCCAGATCCTCCACGCCCCCTCGCTCTCCGTCTCGGACAAGCAGCAGATTGTCCAGGAGCTCCAGAAGCACATTGGCGGCGCCGACAAGGACGGCATTGTCAAGAACTTCCTCGCCACACTCGCTGAGAACAACCGATTGGGCGTACTACAGGGTGTCGTAGAGAAGTTTGGTGTGCTCATGGGTGCGCACCGTGGTGAGGTCGAGCTGACCGTCACCAGCGCTGCGGTACGTTGATTCCGAGATGAGATGGAAGGACAGACCCCAAGAATAGAGGAGGAAGTTGCAGGGACCTAAGAACTGACAAAATGTAGCCCCTCGACAACAAGACCATCAGCCGCCTCGAGAACGCCATCAAGAACTCGCAATACGTCGCCAACGGCCAGACCCTCAAGGTCGTCCCCAAGGTCAACCCTGAGATCCGCGGTGGACTCATCGTCGAGATCGCCGACCGCACCATCGACAAGTCCGTCGCCGCAAAGATGGCCAAGATGAACAAGCTCCTCAAGGATACTTTGTAAATATAGAGCGAGAGCGCATGGCGATGGATGTGAGGGGTAGGCATGTGTATTCTAGATGAGTCTTGGAAAAGAGCAATTTACTACCGTCTACCACCTGGCGACGCGCCATGACCGACTGATGACTTGAGCTTGGATTTATGAAGAAATACATTGGGGCAGCTGATGTTTTACAGAAGACAGTCAATTATCGCGCTCGTGGCCCTCTAACATGTGTAGGGATGAGCGTGCTCTACCAGCTCACCGGATACCGTCTCAACATTCCTAGAACCGACGAATGCCAGCTACCTACCGCGCTACAATACGCTATCGCATTGGCACAGCCCCCATGTCAACCTAGAGAAAGGGTGAACAGCCTGGGGTCTACGTCGATGTTAACACACCCACTTTGCGTGTACTCATCTTAATGTAGTCTGCAGACCCATCCAGTCTTTCCCTTGTATGAGATGGCCCCCACCTACCACGCGAATCCCCAAGTCATTTACAGACGTATCATCCTATTCATGCCTTGTTTTCCGGGTTGAAGTAACCAACTTTCTTCTAGTCGTCGAAGAATCCTGGAAAACGCACGCGTATGCTCGGTAGCACACACGGCTCATCTCCATTGGCCGCAGCCCACGCAGCAGCATCGTATGGCTTCGGAACCAGCCATTTGTCCCATCCACGCTTCTCATACAAAGCTTTGGCCTCCAAAGTTTTGACTAGGAAGGCATAATACTTTTCTAATAGCTCTTTGAGGCGTTCTAGGGTATGTACCTCTTCGGTGGTTTCCTTTCCGGGACCTTCGTACTCGGGTTCGATCTGCGGGGAAGTTAGTATGCTTCAAAAGTTGTTGCAACCTCAAATACTGTTTTTGAAGAGGTTGGATGAGATACGCAAGGTCATGGTGTACTTACAATCATCAGAGGGAATTTCATAAGGGAAATAGGTGTCTGTTCGATCTCGCGGATGTAGAGGGTTCGTTGGTAAGGAAACCCCTCAAGTGTGGACGCTGACGTTGCAGTCGTATTTGGCGACATTGTAGTGTGCTTGGTTAATCGTGAATGCGTGCGGTAAATCTTATTGTTCTGGGAATGAAGAGAAAGTATGCAGGATTCGTCATGGCTCATATACGATGTTCGCGGTGAATATTTGTCTCGATTCTGGCCATACGTGGTTAAGGATATCTGAACTATGGTTCACCAGCACAGCGCCGTGTAGCCACTTGGGAAGACAGCAGCAAAGCACTTCTAACCAAGGACCTCAATAGGTACACCATTCCATTTTCGACGAAAAAGACTAATTTGTTTGGGTATAATATCGCACTGCTCAAAAACAACGAATAGCAAGAAAAAGATATCAAACTGTACCAAAAAACAGCAACCTCCTCCTCAGCCTGGACACAGCCTTCTTCACCCGACTGTTCCTCCTCCACCTCCTCGCACCCAGTTTCACTGTGAAAGACCGCCCATCGCCTCCATACACTACTTCAGTCTCTTCCCTTTCTAGCCATTTCGCGTAGTCTTCGGAATCCGAAGAGTCTGAAGAGTGTGCATGGTCGACAGCGAGACCGCCTGTGCATACTAGTTCTCCGTCGACGAAATGGGAGGATAAGGGTGTGAGGTAGTCGTCTGTGAATGGACTTGATGGGGATTTGTCGGTTGGAGTGGATAGGTCTACTACACTGTCGTTTCGTGGTGGTGATGAAGAGGTTGTGGTGGGTGTGTTGGATGCAGCACCCCCGTAATGTAATTTGAGCAGGATGTCTAGCTCGCTTTCTGAGGAGATAAGAGTCTTGCTGCTGGTGTCGTTGGTGGCCTGGTTTTGCTTGTCAGATAAGCCCTCTTCCATGTTGCAATTTCTCACGGTACAAAGGAGTATACTTACAACGAGAACGGGGAAGCGCAGACGAGTGTCATCGAAACCTGGTGCCAAAGTGGCGATATGCCAGGTTTTTGGGTTGCGCAATCGTTGCGCGGGCATATTGATGGCAGTGCTTTCGGAGGAATACCGATTTGAAGGCATCATTCGTCCGTCGTACTATGCCCAGGTGTCTACGGGTATGAGGTTGAGTTGGTATGCAAGATGGAGACCGAAAAGATTATTCGAGGGACGGAAAGAAACGCATGCCACATATTTACTATACGTGTCTCTAGCATGACTCCCTACTGTCGTGTTGCTAACTGTAGTTCACTCATAGGCTCACGTGTAGGCAGACGAATGGAGGGACCATGGTTTTGGGGAGGAAAAGTGGATCAGCTCGTGACGTGTATCACGAAGTCGCTAAGGAGTGGGAAATCAGGCGAACGGCGTCATGGGATTGCGCATGGGATCGCCATAGTCAGGATGGCGAAAATATGGACATAAGCGATGAAACACTTTGGATGTAACAATTTGAATTCGATCGTGCGTGTGTGAAGACAGACGCCTAACCACCCTCAAATGCCCGACCGACCGAGTTAAGCCTGCCAAACATACTCCATGCCAACGCAAGGCTCGACGGCCACCTTCTCGTCGACATCCATGACGGAGTCGCCATCTTCGTCATCTTCATCGCAGACAGTGCTCCTGGCAAAGCTGTCTGCACCTTCCATGATGATTTCCGAACCCACCTTCTCATCCTTGTCCTCGTGATCAATACGCGAACAGTCCTCACTCCCCTCACACCCACACATATCGTCCCACTCCTTCTCCCACGGCCCCAACCCGTCAAAAATACTAACAGGGTTAACCAGCGACTTCTCCCGGGCTCCTTTGCCCGACCTGCCCTTCACTTCGAGGCGCAAGTTCGCTACATCAACCGAGCTGTTGACGATTGGGTTGACCTCGACACCCTCATCCATGACCGTGGTTCCGATCTAGTGAGTAGATGTTAGAAATATTGAACCGTAGTTTGACGATTGGGAGGGCGACTTACGATTTGTGCGGGATAGGAAGTGATGAAGTCTTTATCGGGTTGCCACCCTACTAGTATGCTGGTGATGTGGTATTGTGGTAGGACGTTGTCTTGTTGCCCTAGCTTGCGGTCGTCGGAGTCGTCGTCAGAGTCGAAAAGCGTCTCGGAGTCCGTACCGCACTCCGTGTCGGACGTAGCGCAAGAGAGGGCTGAGAAGACTCCCTCGTTCTCAGCCGGTTTTGTCGTGAACTGCATGGTCACGGTGTAGTAGTTTAGGACTGTTGTGTGATTTATAGAAACTCGCGGTGAGGATGTGTAGGCTTTTAAGAGGAAAAGTTTGAGATGAATGCATACTATAGATAGCTGGAGTTACCGTGGTTGCGTTTGCGACAATATGTCATTATTGCTCACGTATCGTAACGCGCCAACGAGATGGAAAATGTTTCCAAGAGTGGGGCGCGAAAGATGGAGTCGTAGGATGCAAAGTCGAGATAGTTGGATTTCACTGCAGCTTGCAGTAATTTCTGCCATGGTTTACCTGCCAACGACACAGACTCACCTCAACAGCCATGCCTAAGAAACCAGCGATACAGATCCCTCCAGAATCACTCACACTAGTCGCGCCCAGGCTGAATTCCCTATCCTCTTTCGGCACGTTATCCGTAATCTCGGCAAAGGTGCTGACATATACCAGCCCACCTAATAGACCTTCCCAAAAAATGATTACGCAAACGATGTAATAGCTTGGGATGAAATTGAACATGGCGTGCAGCGCGAGGACAATGAGATTGGCGACTTGAAGGAATGACGGGACGTAGAGGTGGTGTATGCGTATGAAGGGTGTGGAGGATCGCGAGATGAAGACACCAACCTGGTAGATGGCGCCATAGGTGCTATAAAAGGAGCGGTATTCGTCGAAAGGAGAGGATTCGAGAGGGAAGAGCAGAGTGGGTGCGACGCCCTGGTTGATAGTGTACTCGGCGATGTAGACAAGAAGGAGGGGCAGCATACTGTGATACATTAGTCTGGAGTGGATGAGATTTAAGGATCGGGCTTACTATGGGAAGAACAGGCCTCGCGCGCGGTTGAGGTTTGCGCGAAAGCTACTCAGCGCACTGTTAGCACCGGTGTTAGTGACAGAGGGGAAACTGCGCCCTGAAGCCGAGTGCATGGAGGAAGACAACAGGTCGTCTTGTTCCTGCGCCGGGCCTACTTCCTCTTCCTCATCGTCCCCATGGTCATCGATGGCTTCATAGTCGCCTTGTTTCTGGACGCCAGCGCGCAGCGGGCCAAGTGGAAGGATAATGAAGAAGCTCAGCACCATGACTAGCGGCAAGAAGGAGAAGACGAGTAGACTTGTACGGGGGTTGATGCCGAGCGTGTTGGTCGCAATGGCATAGGCGCCGGCACCGATCAAGCCGGCGCCTCCCGTGCCTGAGCCCCAGGAAGCCAGGGCAAAGTGGCCGTAGTAATGTGTTAGGCCAAGGAAGCTCAGTTCACCAGCTCCACTGCTCAGACTGGCAAGCATCACTCCGCACAGCTTGATGGCGATGGTGCCCGAGTCCTGCAGTGGAGGCGTGAGGGCGATGATGAGCATGCCGCATACGGAGAGAGCGACGAATATGACGATGCGCACATTGTAGGGGATCTTGTGGATGAAGTACGGAGCGCACAGTTTGGCGAGGAACGAGGGAATGACATCGGCGAGGAGCACGACGCCTTTGGGGACATTTGGGCCGACGAGATCGAGGGCGGCGGAGAGGATGATTACGTAGAGCACGTTGTTGATGAGGCCTGGGCGTGTTAGTCACGGTGGAGCGGACAGTGTTGGTGCCCCTCTTTGGGGGTTCAGGTGCATGCATACCGAATAACCAGAAGGCGGCGCACACGCGTGGGTCGGCGCCATGGAAGACAGCCTTGAGGCGCGCACGGTAGACGGCCCAGGAAGACGCGGGAGAGCCAGGCATGGGGAGGAGCGGCATAGGATGCAGAGGCTGGTGTTACTTCACATATCGCAGGTTGGGGGGGGGTGAAAGCTACGGGCACGTGTCACGCGCCTCAGATGACGAGGGGCAGCTGCTGGCTGTGCCGGTGTTGATGGCTGGGCTGGACTCGGACATGGATGGGT